TTTTGGGTGATTTTTAAATAAGATTTCCTCCATTTTTCCCCAGGTTCTGTCCCTCCTCACCCTATAACTCCAGTTCGGTTTTAGGGTGATTTTATGGGATTTCGGGGTGATTCTACAGGATTTTATGATATTTTAATGGGATTTTGTGCTATTTTAACGGGATTTTTTTCTATTTTAATGGGATTTTCTGATACTTTACGGTTTTTTTTTCGGGATTTTCGTCCTTCCTCTTGCAGATTGTGTCCCTCGTCTCGTCCCCCCCCAACTCCAGCTCAATTTCGGGATTYCTGCAGTGGAAAAGCACCGCCTACGGCTCAGCGCGGCCGCGGCGCTCGGACGGGATCCGCTGCCGGAGCGGGGCCCTGCAGCCGCGGGGTCGGACCCTGCCCCGCTCCGCCATCCTTGTGGGSTTCTTTGGGGACAGCGATGTCACCGTCAGCGCCCTCAATGTCACCTTCGGGGGTGAGGAGGGYCAGGTCTACCGGGACACCAAATACCTCAGCTGGTAAGTGGGGTTTTTGGAATTTTATGGGGTTTTGGGGTGATTTTATGTGACTTTTTCTATGATTTTAGGGTGATTTTAATGAGGTTTTGTGGGATTTTGGAGTGATTTTATGGGATTTTATGGGGTTTTGGGTTCTTTTCCTGTGATTTTATGAGATTTTATGGGGTTTTATGGGGTTTTGGGGTGATTTTTGTGGGATTTTTTCTGTGATTTTGGAGTAATGCTACAGGATTTTGGGGTGATTTTTTGGGATTTTTGGGTTGTTTTCCTCTCATTTTAGGGGATTTGTGGGATTTGGGAATTTTTGGGATTTCAGAATTTTCGGGACTTTCAGGATCTCTTTTTTAGGATTTTGGGATTTTTGGAATTTGTTGGTTTGGGATTTCGAGATCCTTTTTTTTTTTAATTTTCGGGATTTTTGGGATCTCTTTTTCAGAATTTTGGGATTTTTGGGATCTGTTTTTTGGGGATTTTGGGATTTTTAGGATTTCTCCTTTCCCTCCCCAGGTCGGTCCTGCTGGGTTTCGGGTCCCCTCCTGAGCAGTCTCTGTCCCCTCTGCTGACGGCGCTGGCGGCCGCGCTGGGGACACCCCTGGGTGCCCTCCTGGTGGGTGGCACCGCAGTGGCACTGATGGCACCCAGGGGACACCGATCGGACTATGAACCCATCAACTGAGGGGACACCCATGGGTGACACTGGTGACACCGGAATGGGGACAGGGACACACCTGGGTGACACCGGAATGGCACTGGGTGACACAGGGACAGGGACACCCCTGGGTGCTCTTCTGGTGGGTGGCACTGCGGTGGCACTGATGGCACCCAGGGGACACCAGTTGGGGGATAGGGACACCCCTGGGTGACACAGGGACACCCCTGGATGCCCTCCTGGTGGGTGGCACCGCAGTGGCACTGATGGCACCCAGGGGACACCGATCAGACTATGAACCCATCAATTGATGTCACCTGAATGTCCCCAGGGTGACACTGACACCCCTGGGTGACACCAGAACTGGGAATGGGAACAGGGACACCCCTGGGTGACACCAGGATGGGGACAGGGTGACACTGGGACACCCCTGGGTGACACCGGGATGACACCGGGACAGGGACAGGGTGACACTGGGATGGCACCCATGGCACAGGAATGGGGACAGGGACACCCCTGGGTGACACCAGAATGGGGACAGGGACACTCCTGGGTGACACCGGGGTGTCCCCAAGCAGTTTTGGGTGTCCCCAGGGTGACTTTGCGTCCCTTTGGGGACATTTTGGGGACATTTTTGAGGTTTGGGATCTCAACCAAATAAATGGGATTTTTTTAAGGGTGTCCAATGGGATTTTTGAGTGACCCCCAAAGGTTTTTTGGGGTGTCCCCAAAGGGTTTTGGGTCCCTTTTGGGGACATTTTTGGGGTCTGGGGTCTCAACCAAATAAAAATAAGATTTTTGAAAGGTGTCCACAGTGTTTTGGGGGGGT